ACCTTTCCCTTGCTGTGTTCAAAATGTATTTCACGTCAAAATTGAGCCCAGTGTTGTGTTGCACAGGTTCGTAATACTTTTCACGGAGTCGAACTATCTTGAGGCCTGTGATGGGATGACAGAGGTAATACAGAATATGCGTACCTTTTTGTGCATATACGAAGTGAAATCTTGGATAGAATGCTTAGTGGTCAAGTGATTGACCCGTTTTGCAATCCGGATTTCGGGTCTTAGTTTCATCTCTCAGTTTGACAAGTCTAAGATCCTTTACAGCTTGTCAGCTCATGTTTTCGTTTGATCCGTTCATGGTTCATTTCATTGTGAAATGAAAGGGAACCATCCAACAATCGCTTCAGCATAAATAAGTGTTGAAGTATATCGACCTTTATAGTTCATCTTTGCATGAGCGAAGTCGTACCGCCAATATCTACAGTACTGGTACGGGTTTATCACAACACTATGTGTAATATGCATGTGTTGTGGAAGAGATTTAAAGTTCCCGTAAATGGGAACTTCAATAGCGAGCCTTTGCCGTTAATGTGACAATTTTAAATAGTGCTTCCTGTGTAATCGGTTATTTTAGAAGCGAATTAAGCTGCTGTAAACATAACTTGTTAAATACCAGCAGTTCTGGGTATACTTTGGGTGATCGGATTCACACAGAGTAAATTCATGCACTCCATCGTAGACCGGTTATGTCAGAATCTCAGCTTGAAGCAAATGAAATTTGTCATATCCATCGATTGGTTGATATAAACATATAACGCATACAAAACAGTCGTATGAACTAATTTCAAACAGGCTGTTAAGTCCCTTTAAATTGTGCTCATATCTGATCTCTATCATTTTCAATGATGTGAAATCTGTGTACGTGTAGCATTTCTTGATTACCTTAGGTTATTGTACGTACAATAGCCTATTTACTCCTGTGGGTGAGTTGTCTTTTAGTTGGAAATCGAAACGAGGAATAACCTTCACAGATTAACATATGTGACTGATGTTATCGAACGCAAAAATCATCCTTGTGAAAAATGCAGTATGATAATCATGACAAATCATACCAGTGATTAGCATTATTCTATTTATTTATTTTCTCACACGCCTGAGTTCAGACTGTGTGCCAAACAAATCACGGTTCAATTATGTTTATAAAAAAGAAAATACGTCCATGATTTTCTTGAGGGCAAGATGCTGATATGGTTCCCAGGACAAGGCAGGTGAATTTTCTTGAGGAGTTCACAACCGGAGCTTTCGGTTCACTAAAGCCTGACCCGCAGAGCAACAGGATGGTGTGTGAGAAGCGTAATCTATTGGGGGCCAAAGTGCAGTTTATCAGAGCATACGGTCCTTTGGACGGTGTCAAACGTCCAAGGTACCCGATACACCTCGATACCCAACTGGGCCGGTAACAACTAGCACAATAAAGAAGGTGTGGTTCGTGCACCTCCTCTTGGTTGGTTTGGAATCAGGGTTTTTAGAGAACTCCTCTAGGTGAACTGCCAGTGGTCCACCAACCCGGTTATAGCCCCTGATATTGGATTTTCGTTTTCTCACTTTGGTGGGAAAACTCTTCCGCCGCGAGAAGACAATGAGTAGGGCTTCCTCAGAAGAGGCTATTTGAGACGCTTGGTCGTATGGGAGCATATCGCGATCTGCAAGGGGAGGATGACCAGCCACAACTCAAGACACCCACCCCCGACCATACTGAGGCTTTCGAAGGCATTATGTTTGCATTTGAAATATTGTGTGTTACCAAACAACACTGGGCAGTTGTTTCGTCCTGTACACGAACGATGAGTACTAATGCAGTATCCTTACCGAGATTCAAACCCTGAGCCACCGGGTTGGGAACCAAAACTCTTATCCTGGATCTATGTTCTTGAAAATCAGTCCCATTAGTGAATATATAAACAAATTTAGAATGCGATATTTCGATCAGAAGAAAATTCCTCTGAAGAAAGGTAGCAGTTTCGGGGTAACTAGCCACTTAAAACTGAAAAAGGAGTGAATACTGGACGCAAAGTACTAATATTTAGCTGAGGACTTCGTAAAAGATCTCAATTTCTTCGATACACAAAGGATACACAGAACGGTCCACTTAAATTCCGTCAAAAATAAGCAGTACATAATTATAAACACTGGGAACAAGTAAGCGGATTAACACACCTTTCATCCATTCGGTTTATTTTGTCACAAAACTATTCACCTATTTGTTAAACTAATTAATAACATCTACAACTGACTAACATGTACTGCCTCAGTTCCTGGAATTTACCCACTTTTTCGACTTCACGAAGGGTGTGCCATAACAGGAGATTGGGTGTATTTCCATCCCCAGACGCTAGGCTCTCTTCAAGAGTGAAGCCAAGATACAAAATTGCAAGCGAATCCAAATGGTCTAACATATTCTTCTCATATTTCAACTCAGTAGCACTAATGATAGTAATAAATGTGACCAGGGAAGCTTTCTATTCGCGCAGATTCTACAACTAATCCCATTTCTCCGCATTTGCTTTCACAGCATTTTCTTGGAAGCAGATGGATATCTGTGAAGCGTTTACTCTTTTCATCTATCTGAAACCTCTTTTCGTTGTATTGCTGAGGTTGGGTATCAATGTCTTCTGAAAAGTCATTAAAATGCCGGATTAATTAGGTAGATTTCGTTATCAGTTCATCTTATCTTTTCCCAACCACCTGCCATCCGTGACCTTAAAAATCCCAGTTGACAGTCTGCACGTTTATCCTTCATGGGATGTGTTTATTCGATAGGAAAATGGCAACTTCTTCCGAATATCTTTTATGATTGAAGAAATTTCGAACGTATAAAATTCAGTGTTTTGTAACTCTGTTAATGCAACTTGACATTGCGAAAAGCAGATAGCAGTGTGAAATAGAACTTTATAAACTTCATTGAACGGTGCTGTTAAGGATTTGAACTTGCATCTCCGTATGACCTCACAGTGTGAAAGGTCAGCTCAGGAGTTGGTGTTTAGTTTTGTTTTATCAGATATTCTATTCTTTAAATCCCTTTCATTAATAAAGATGGTGTAAGAAATCAGAGATTCATCATGATGCAGATGAAGCATGGGGAAATTTGACCGGCGGTGATGAGGTTCGAACAAATTAATTCCCAGGAAAGAGGTCGACAACCATCGTGGTTATTTGTTGGTGCATGTTTAAATATTTATAAGCACCTGAATTATTCAACAAGGCTTTGTTAATTATCAAAACAGTCATTGTAAATACAATTATGTATTAACAAAATAGGTCTTCAGTCAACCAACAAAAGATGATGGTTTCTGTCCAATTGGCTCAACCCGTTTAAATCTGTGCGAAGTTTTGGTTCAAAAGGAGATTTTAATCGATTGTAAAATATCCAGAAAAAGTTTCCTGTATTGCTTCCGTTTCATGTGTTTATTAATTTGACAATCACAGTCTCTTCCTGGTAGAGTGACTGATTCAAAATAAATATTGCATATGCATTCTGTGAAAAATGTTACTCATTTGAAATGCTGTATTCTAAAGTGTTTCAACTTGTGGTTGCACCTATCTTTATAGATTACACGTAAATATTCCTATCAATTATCTGGAGTTGGAAACAAACTATTTTACTTCAACTTTTACCATGTGCTGAACTTGTTATAACAAAGTATAAACAA